TCGATATCTTCCTGTTTAATGCTTTGTCGTTTCTCTATAAAGCGATTAGTATTATCTTGTAGAGGTCATTGTGTGTTATCATGATATGTTCTACGGCCTTTTTCGTAAAATAAATGTTCGATAGGGTCAGGATCGGGAGAAATTCCCGAACATTCTATTTTATTCATATTGTAAGATCTAATAAAGTCGTTCACAATCCCTGCTCGATGACGTCTTGTTTTATTTACTTGAAATATTGATCTCTGACCAATCCGTTGTAAAATTGAAAAAACACGCAGCATCAAAATCACATCAATGTATCGCTGTGAGATCAAACTACCGTTTGTAAAGATGGGTTCTTCTGTCTAAATCATGACAAGTCCTCGATCAAACTTTAGTTCCCCTATGTTTACTTCGAAATAACGAAGACGATAAATACGGATGCGACCATCATTAAATTTAAGAATGAATATTATTGACTTATCTAAGAAGCAAACGTTACCCAATTGACGTGCATTCCACCACATATGTTGACGGCATTTCCCCGAACGAAACTTTAGATGACTCTTATGTTACCTTGATTTCAAATTTACATCACGTAAACGATTACGAATAATTTAGTCAATAACATTTACACCTGCAGCTATTCGTGATTTACGATGGAAAACATGGAAACTAATTTGAATGTGTCGTAACGTTAAAGTGCTCTAAATGCTTTATCGATTTTAAAGACAAACCAATTCACATAGCATGATATAGAAAACTAAAGACTGAGCAACACAAACCCCGTAAAGGAGTTGGTATGAAAAGAGTTACTATTTGGTCCCTGAAATTGCAAAAAAAAGTAAACTTATGCCAACCCTTAAAATTCATTTTAATTATATTGGTAAATGAACAGTTTAATATAATCTGGAAATTTTAATGAAGAAAGGTTACTTGCGGTGTCATTTGACGTCATAAACATGCAAAAAATTATGTATTTGACCTAAAATGGTCATTTCAAACATATTTTTGGTAAAAATATATACGGGAAAACAGCTTTACCCAAAAATATTTTTTACGCACATTAACATCCTTGTTAAATCATTTTGTAGCAACACATCGTTTTAAGCAAAACTGGAGCTCATATCTAAATATTAATGACAATATATCAACATGTGGTGATTTTGGCTGTTTTTGCTGTTTTGCACTAAATGTAAGAAGTTTGAAGCCCTAATGCCAATCCTAAAAAGAAAATCCAAAATATAAATATTGATGTCAACCAACTGTCTTATGAAGATCTAAAAAACCGAATTAAAGATAACAGGCTTATAATTTTTACGCCAGACGCGCCTTTCGTCTACAAAGGACTCATCAGTGATGCTGACAGATGATATTTGGTAGATTTATTTTTATTATTTGATTTTAGAATTCAAGGAGTAAAAAAAGTGGTCTCATCATACCTTTTTCTTTTGAGTTGAACAAGATTTTCACATGGAGTTCAAGTTACACTCATGATTGAAGGCAGCAGTTGCGTAAAGTTGTGTCAAGTTTAATTTTTCTCTGTTTGATAGCGTATAGAATTTTACACGTTTTTTTTTTTTTTTTTGGTCTTTAATCGTAAAACAAGGAACCATGTTAAAGATAAATTTGAATTGATTTATTTGGCTAAATGATTCGCAAAGTAAACGTAACTTGGCGATATCTCTGAAATTCTGTATGCATTTACAAGTAGAAGTCGTTGAATTCCACTTGTATATGAAAAAAAAAATGATAAATGTAGTATTTATACTTTCAGAGATACAGTCAATTAAAAGACCTTTAAAAAAGTCGTGAAATCTTTGCTAAAATTCACAGTATCATAGCTCTATGTGTGTACTTTTTAAAGGGTTTAACAATTTTATGGCTTTTATAAACAGATCACATAATTATTCAGGCAACAAGATAGTTCAATACGCAATTTTAGCAGATTTTGGCAAATTTTGAGTATTTATTCAATGAATACAAGAAAGGATATCAAATTGCCTTCAAAAGCAACATGATTTTATGTTTTAACATCCTGCTCCTTCTCATTATATTATTATCATTATTATTATTATTATCATCATTATCATTGTATTTATTGTTATTATTTTTATTATTATTATTATTATTATTATTATTATTATTATTATTATTCCCCATATCCAAATATAATAAAAAATACTTCGCTAATAATCACGTCATGACATGTTATAACCTTTCTTTTAAAGGAAATCAAAGGGAGCAAACAGTACAAGGTAATGTTTACAAGATATCAGTTGTCAAGGAAAAGGATGAACTAGTAATTTTATGAAGATCCGAACTGAACACAAATATCCGTGACGTTAGTCAAACGAAACACATTGTCAGTTCGGGTTGTCTTCGTAATGCCAATAACCATGTTTATAAAACTAAAATAAGGCTTACTGAATCAATTGCATTTGAACGCTTTTCTATATCGACCTTTACCATGAATGCCGCGAGCAAAAATAGATCGCAAACCAAAAATATGTGACAGTTTGATACTTTGATAGATTAATTATTTCGTAGTTTTTTAATTAGAGGTTTTGCTTCTTTTAATACTGTCTTTTCCAATGAATAGGATATTTGATCCAAACGGACCGTAAATAAAACCATTTTAGGTAAACTGAATATTGTAATTGTAATTTAGTTTATACGGAAATGCCTTAGGCAAGAAAAGCATAATTGATGCCATCGATCAATCTTTTCTATCTTGTGTACAATGTAAAACATATCATTAAATAATGTGTTATGAAATTATAAATATTATATTTGTTTTGATTTATCTTGTTTCTCATTGGTTTCTTTGGTCACGTGTTTCCAAATATATAGTATGTATTAATTTCACTATTTTGACATATTGACTCGACTTTACTATTTTTTTAATGATATTGACTCCATGTTACTAAAAATAGTAACATCGGGACAATATCAGTTCTAAAAATAGTAACATCGAGTAAATATCATTTTCAAACTTAAAAACTTAAAAAAAAAAACGAAATCCGAACATTTACTTCTAAAAAAAAAACAAATAACAAATAAGAAAAATCACTACATACATGACATATGTAATATAACAATAAAGGACTTTTAACTCGCTCAATATGTTATATATGGACCTGATACAGTGATATCGATCTCGACTTCGTCTCGGTTCATATCTTTAAATCAGGTCCATATATAACATATTAATCTCATTAAAAAGTCATTGTTTTTAAGTATTTAATACAATAGAAACGGCTTTTTCATTGTATTGACCGTAGATTTATATGTTTTTTTTTATCTGTTTTAACTTAAATAACAACATCACTTTTATTTGCATTTCATTACATTATTTAGATGTAAGACTTGTTGGAGGAAGTGGTCCATATGAAGGAACTATAGAATTAAATATAAATGGTGTATGGGGTACAGTATGTGACGACGATTTTGATATAAATGATGGCAATGTTATGTGTCGTATGGCAGGATATCCTAGGTACTATCATGATGGCCCGAGAACCCACTACTGTACAGACTTTTTAATTTGCATTGTCTATATAGTTTTTACTATTGACATTGTTTTACTTGCATAAATTTTTCATACACTTTCCCAATTATTTTCGTCATGTGTTATGCACAAAATAGCAAGAAAAGTGATGAAATTACGTTGAAAAAAAAACCTAGATTTGTAGGATGATTGATCACTCGCACACATGTTTTTTTCCCACAACATTCTGTGTGTGCCTCTCCGAAGTCAGGAGACTGTTATTCCGCGTTTCTTGCTGTCTGTCATATTTTTTATTTATTGTTTTATCATAAATCAGGTTGTTAGTTTTCTTGTTTGTTTTGTTTTAAATTTTGTCATGTCAGCGTATTATAACTTGCTATTTGATTAGGGTTTGTTCCTTGTTGAAGGTCATACGGTGTCATATAGTTGCTTACATCCTAGTTGGTTGGTCTCTGGTGAATAGTGTTTTCGTTGTTTGTCTATTAATTTGTATATAGCAAGAATATTTTAAACAGTACTTTCTAAAGAATCCCTTCCCTTAGTTTGCTGTGCTTTTAGAAGTTAATAATACTCAAAAGCGTTAAGTGATACATACCGTGCTCACAAGGTAGTAGCAAAATATGACACCAATACTCTACTAAGCCACGTTATCCTAATAAGCAGTCGTTAAGTCTTTTTTTAAATACCGCTTGTTTGGCGAAAAAGCAGCTCTTTTGAAATATATGGTTTTATCCGGTCACGGATCGAACTAATGACCTCCAGCACTCGAGGTAAGCCTAGTTTCACGAAACCTTCGAGATGGTTGAAATGTATGGCAAAATGTCTATATGATAGCAATGGTTTAAAAGAAATATTGCTTATTGTTGGTTGCTTAAAATCTAGTAGGCCCCAACAAAATGATGACATACAAACAAGATTAATTCTTGCACACACATACGCACGCAAACATATACACAACCAAAGAGAACCTGATGATAAAAAGCGATGTCAAATATTTCCATGTTTGCATTAATTTTTCATTTCAGCAGTGCCAGATATTAATGTGTTAGTTACATTGGTTGGACAGCTTTTAAAAAGTACTTTCAAATATACAGGGACACAAATATGCCTTCTTTGTTATTTACCTCATTTTAAAGTTTCTGAAAGAATGCTTCTGCCTAATTAAAATAAATTATTTCGGTTAAGAGTTAGAATAGATTTTTCCGGGAAAAACGTACTATACTATTTCGATAGTCGTCACAATATTTGTTATAGGAATAATTGAAGTTGGTGTCTGTATCCTGAAAGCGTTTTTGTATACGAAATTATTGCAGTACAATATTTAGTTGAAATTTTACCTTTGTCTTGCTAAAATAAAATCAACTGTTTTGATTTCAACACCACTGCTGTGGTCAACTAATTCTTAATGTTAAAGAATCGATAAAAAAAAAATCCCAAATAAACTTACAATATTACTGTCAGGTAAGAAATTGTAATGCATAAACATGTAAAAATAATACGGTAGTTAAAGATGGTCCAAAGTAAGAAAGTGCATTCTAATAAAATATTGTTTATTATACTAAATTTATGTTTTGCAGTTCGCTTTTTTTTTAATATAAACAATTACACAAAACAGTAACACATGGAATGTTTTTTAAAAACTAGAATCAGTTCCTCATTAAAATTTAGGGGTATTGTCTTTCGATGAAATGAGGATGAGAAAATGTTTTCTCCTTTAAAACACATTCAAATCATTTAATAACATTAATTTCAGGGCGTTACAGGCATTTGCAGGGTCTCACTTTGGACAGGGAAATGGTTCTATTCTGTTAAGTAATTTACACTGCACTGGTTATGAGACGAATGTTGACAATTGTGGATCAGGAGGGTGGTACAAACATACCTGTGATCACAGGGAGGATGCCGGGGTAGCCTGCTTAGGTGAGAACGCAAATCTTATCAAATTCCAGCACTTTAACGTTCAATTTTTGAAATCCAAACAATAATATGAGGCGTGATCGAGGGGAAATGTACATAAACCGAAAATACACCCCAAAAACTTGATCATGACTCTAAAATCTGAACAAACATTCTTTGCTTTTAGTTTAGTATTACATTTTGAGAGTATGTTTGAAAGTTTCAAGAATATAGAATATTGTTGATTGCAACACTTTTTATTTTTGATATTCTAAACACTAAAGTAGGTTTATCAATCAAAGGCAGCAATTTGAAAATTTTTAACAATTCACAATTTCATTATTTGTTAACAATATTAGCGATACTTGTTTTCATGAATTAAGCCAATATATTTTGGTCCCTTTTATATTACTCATGAATGAAGGCAGCAATTCCGTGAAATTGTGTTAAGTTTAGCTTTTCAGTTTGATAATGTATAAAATTTTGCACCTTTGTTTTTACTCTTAATTCGTAAATTGTTTTATTTTGCTAAAAGATTAACGCAAGTATAGGTGATAATGCCATATCTCGGATTTTGTTGAAATTTTGTATGCATTTACATGTTGAAGTCGTTTAATGCCACCTGAATATACAAAAAATGATATATTTAGCATTTACATTTTCAGAGATACGTTTAACATATATTTAAAAAATGAGGAAGGACAATTTTTTCCTTTTGTTTCACCCGAGGGACGTTTTCATAAAAGTTGTTAAATCTTACCGTAAATTCACATACAATGTTTGCATGTTAAGGTTACCCGTATTAACCATATTATTTCAAAACCGCAATTTTCATGATTTTAGCAGATTTGAAAATTTTAGTATTAACTCCAAAAATATATAAGGTCAACAAAAACCAGATTTTTCAACTTTTTTTAAAAAAAGTTGTGTATTGTATTTGGATACAAATTAATTAATTTCGGTAAGCCAGATCATTCGATGCAATTTTGACAAAAAAACAAGAAAAATTTGCAATTCTGTAATAAAATGCCCTCAATAGCATGTAGCGCTCAATATCGTTTTGAATTTATGGAATATATGAATTGTTGAAAAAAAAACATTTAAAGTGTATGATATAGACTCTTTAATATTTAGTTTTCAGTACGATTTAAAAACTTAAAATGTTCGACCTTGCGAGTGAAAAAAATAAAGCTGTACTTATTAGTGATAAAGGTCTAAAAATGTTTCCATTCTAATATTTTCATATCATAAGTTCGAAGTAAAATATTGTTTCCGAAATCTTAAAAATGCTTAATTACGTAAACTTTGCATTAACTTTGAGGTTTAATGTTAAATGATAACGTGCTTTAACATGAATGGGGACTTTTCCTTTGATCTCCAAGGAGGTTAAGTGAGTATGTTTTAAATATTTGGAACTTGACGTTTCGAAATCACCAATCAGTCAAATATTCAAACTTTTCTCTTTTGTTGGGGAAGAAGAAAATTTATACCTTTTCCATTGGCTATGCAAGCAGGCTACTTGGTATTTACGCCAATTGAAGACCTGGAAGCTACCTGGCACTAGTTGTCGTAAAGGGAGCACTATTAAATAGCATGCAAACGCCGTTTGTAAACTGCATTGAAAACATTACGGCAAAAATTCATTAACATGCATTTGAAATAGAAATTCCTTCTGAAAACACATGCACTATACTCATACGAAATTTAAGTTATCACTTGTTCTAATTATTGATGTTGATAACCTGTCTAACGATGCTTCATGTTAATGTGTCTGTGTTAAGCCAAGAGCCTCTCTAGTGTTTTCGCTGTGACTTTGCATCCTTCTCCTTCTCCTCCCCAGTATAATTATTATTATCATTACTATTATCATTATCATTATCATTATTATTATCATTATAATATTTTTTATTAATATTATCATGAGTATCATTAGACTCAAAGCAACGTTTGATGCAGAGAGCACGGTTGCTTGTTTAGCATTGAAGGCCGTATGTTGATTCAACAATGCTTTACTTGATGTTTTCTCCACATTCAAAGATATTGGCAACAAAGACTACTAAGCTATTTATCATGTCAGGACGTGTTTACTCTTTCTTTTACAGGAAATCAAAGGGAGCAAACAGTACAAGGTAATGTTTACAAGATCACAGGTATAGATAAACTAACTTTTAGAAGATTCGAACTGAACACAAATATCCGTGACGTTAGGCAAATAAAAAAACATTGTAAGTTCGGGATGTCTTCATTATCATGATTATACTAATTCTCATGCGTATGAAACCAAAACTAAGCATACCGAATCAACTGCATTTGGACGCTTTTCTAGATCAACCAGTACCACGAATGCGTCGAGCAAAAATAGATCTAAAACTAAAAAAGTGTTACCGTTTGTTTCTTTGATATATTTGTTATTTTGCAGTGATGCGATACAAGGTTTTGCTTCATGTAAACACTGTCTTTTCCTACGAATGGGAAATATAACTACGGATTAAAGAGTTCCTTAAACGATATTAGGTAAACTCTAAGTATTGTAGTTGTAACCTGAATTGAACCGAAAATACATGAAAAACAACAATATAATTAATGTCATTCCTCAATCTTTTTGTAGCTTATGTGCAATGTAAGGTTTTATACATTTACAAGCAATTAATAAAATAGTTATGGATTTTTTCATCGTAATGACCGTAGATTTTTTGTTTTTTTAATCTTTAACTTGAAAACACTGTAATTTGTATTTGCATTTTGCATTAGATGTAAGACTTGTAGGCGGCAGTGGTCCATATGAAGGAACCATAGAATTGAATATAAATGGTGTATGGGGTACAGTGTGTGATGACGATTTTGATATAAATGATGGAAATGTTATATGTCGTATGGCAGGATATCCAAGGTACTATCATGATGGCCATAGACCACAATTATAGCCCTTTGATTACAGTGCATTACTTGCGATTTTTTTTCATACACCTTCCCAATTGATTTCTTCATTTGTTATGCACACGATACCAAGATGAGGGATAAATATACACTGTAAAGGTCATGAATTTTAAGGTAAAGCAGTGATTTGGTCCAGATGCAAAAGAAAGAGTACGTCTGAGGCTGTTAAATTAAGTTGTTGAAGACCAAATAAACATAAAAAATTTCATAGATTGAGTTAGAACTATGACAGTTTCTTAAATTTGAGTTGTTTCTACGGTAGTAAGGATTTTTAAAATTTAATGTTTAAAACTTTAATGTTCTAACGAAATGCACTACATATTAATTGTGTTCTCGGGCCTGCTATGTATATTTATGCTCTATAAAAGTATTTCACCGGTAAATTGAATTGATATTTTATTAATTTTTTTTTTTTTTATTTATTTATTTTTTTTTATATTTATTTTATTTTTTCAAAATACATGATGCATAATCATGATAATATACAAAGGTATATAAATTATTCTTTACAGTGCAGATAATACAATGTCAGATAATTATAATTCAGTTAATTTTAACAATTCTTACAATCAATTACTAATTCTTAAGTTTGAGTTTTCTGCTGCAAACTAATTGGTCTATGTTTTGTTTTATTTCTATAGTAAAATTTTGAAGAAGGAAAAAAATGGGAGAGGAAATTAAAAGAAAAAAAACCCCAAAAATTTGTCAAAAAAAAAACCAAAAACAAATTTGAAATTTTAGGGAAAAAAAGAAGAATTGGTCATCCGTGGTTTGCTCTATATATCACTGCATTTATATGGTATTTGATTCAAGACAGATGGAAAGTAAAGAGCCAGATTTATAGGTTTCATTAGCAAATTTAAAAAACAAAAGTCTCATGTATTTGTGTAATTGTTCTCAGTATAAACACAGAAAGTGCCAGCTATTCCATTCTCTCTCAAACTGTCCTTATTTTTGTTTATAAATAGCTACAGTTTTTTCAGTACAGTACGGATCATTTAACTTTTGTTTGAGTGCCTGAAGTGATAGAACTTTTTTCAAACATCGACTTGAATAAATATAATATTTAATACAAAGCAATATCTTATTTTGTACAATACAGTTTCTAACATCAAAAATACCAAAACAAAAGTCTTACAATTATAGTTAAGTGTTATGTGTGCTGTAGATGAAGTCCATGTATCAAAATTTTCTAACAAAATTTGTACTTCTTCACATTCCCACAATAAGTGTATAATGGTTTCTGGTTGTATATTACAAAAAGTACAAAGAGGGCTTTGTACAAGTTTTATCTTTTCTAGGAAATAATTAGTAGTCAAAACTAAATGGTTTATCCTGTATTGGAACCACTGTGCTCTACTATTTGTAGTAATTTCAAATGGTAGTGTATAAATGAGTTTCATTTCATCATTAGTGACACCAAACTTTTCCATAATTTTCTTTTTATTTGTTGGTTGAGTAAGATTTTTTCTCAATATGAAGTACATATCTTTAGAACCTTTTTTATGTTTAAAAAAAAATCTTGATATTGTTAGGAATGCTTGGGTAACAATTCTTTTTCGGAGATTCAGCATTTTTAACAAAATGTTGGGAATACCGTTTAACACAATTTATTAAGCACTAATATTTCAGAAAGTCTGTACGTAAGTGATACACTTCCTGGAATTTCGTCAGGGAAAAATATTCTCCAACTTCATCTAATAAATCATTTACAATGTATACACCTTTGTCATACCAGTCTCTGTAAAAAACAACATCATTTTCTATTTTAATTTTCTCATTAAACTATAAAGGCATATTAAAAAAATATTCCCATGTATATTCAATATTTAAAGCAATAATTTCTTTCCAGGCACTCAAAACATCTTTCCAAAATAGATTTGTGCATACATTCATACTTTTTTCTATGTTTTTGACACCTGTATTTTCTAGTAAATCAAAATCAATCCCATAGAAAGCAAGAATATCCTGTAATTTTTTATTATTGATCAACCTTCTAACCCATGTCGATTTCAGTGATTTTATGAAAGGTTTCAAACTAATCATTTTTAGACCCCCTTCAAAATAATCTTTCACTAATGTTTCTCTCTTAACTTTACCAACTGGTTTTTGCCAAACAAAACTATAAAACAAGTTATCAAGTTTTTGAATAATTCTGTTGTCCGGATGTAGCAATGATGAAAACAGATGGATAAGCTTTGGTAATGCCAATGTTTTAACCACTGTAATACGCTCATTTGGAGTTAAGTTTCTCTTGCTCCATTGCTTTAAAAGAGATTCAATCTCCAATATTTTTTTATCATAATTTAATCGTACATCAAACATCAAAGTCTATTCCAAGGTACGAAAAATTATGTTTACCCCATGATAAGTTTAAGCTAGTACAAAGTTCATTCTGCCTGTATTTCATACTGCCAATCCATACAACCTGTGTTTTACTGTAGTTAATTTTTAAACCTGAGATTTCCCAAAAATAAATAAGGTCTTTCATGGTTTCCATTAGAGATTCTTCAGATTCATCTAAAATAATAGCAGTATCATCAGCAAATTGAGACAATTTATTTTCAATACTAACAGGTTTTAAGCCTCTTATTTTCTTATTGTTGCGAAGCTTAATAGCTAGTATTTCAACACACAATATAAACAAATAAGGAGAAAGCGTATCACCTTGTCTACAACCCCGTTCAATGTTTGAAAAATCTGATAAATTACCCCCTTGGTTTACAGCTGAATTAATATTAGAGTAGAAAATTCTCACCCAATTTCGAATAGATTGTCCAAAATTGAAAATTTTAATACTTCTTGTAGAAGTTCCCATGATAATGAATCGAAAGCTTTTTCGAAGTCGACAAATAGGAGAAGTCCTGGTAGGTTTTTTTCTTCTGCAATTTGCACCAAGTCATATAACTATCTTGTGTTTTCTCCTATAAATCAACCTAGAACAAAACCAGTTTGATCAGGATCAATCAAATTTCCCAATACTTGTTTAAATCGATTAGCAATAACCCCTCATGCAATTTTGTAAGGAGTATTTAGGAGAGTGATTGGCCTCCAGTTTTTTTAGAAACTGTCGTGGTTTGTCACCTTTAGGTAGACATGTAATTATAACTTGTCTCTGCGTAACAGAGAGTTGACCTTTTTAAAAACCATAATTTATGTATCTTGCAACAAATGGACCTATTTTTCCCCAGAAAACATTGAAAAATTCAGCTGTAAAACCTGATGATCCTAGACTTTTATCATTTTTCATTGCTTTTAAAACATTTGATGCCTCATGTTGACAGATTGGACCCTCTAGTTTATCCGACTCCTCATTTGTTTATTTGTTAAGATTGCATTTATCAAAAACAGTATCAAAATTCTTAATCTTATCCGTAACAATTTTTTTTTAGTACAACTCTTGATAAAAAAATTTAGCCTCTTTGAGAATATCTTTTTGATTATTAATCATTTCTCTATCATCGTTTTGTACTTTAGGGATAATTTTATTCGTAAAGTTTCTAGATTCCAAATTACAAAAATATTTACTAGGTTTTTCACCTTCTGAGATCCATATTGCCGTGGATCTTAGTAAACTCCCTCTTAATTTTTTCCTTCTAATGTCTTCAAGTTCTTCTTTGTGATATTTTATTAATTACATATTGTGAGATGTGAACGTTTTGTCTGTAGTGCTACCCTGCTTATGCATAAAATAGATGAATAAAACAACTATCCAACAGAGTTCAAATCACGTGGATGTAAGCAATCATATGTCACTGTACGGCCCGTCAACAATGAGCAAAACCAGCCTAGGTTAGTAGTAAGATTGGCACTCGCAAACATGTTTATCCCGGCCAAATTCTATGAGTGCCTCTCCCAAGTCATGAGCTTTAAATCCGTGGTTGTCGTTTGTTGTTGTTTGTCATATTTGTTATCGTATACAAGGCAGTTGGTTTTCTTGTTTGTATTGTTTGAAATTTTGTCATGGCAACGAAGTTTAAACTGGTTTGGTTAGAAATTGACAGTCAGTATAATATAGAGAAACATATTGACATGTGATGGAGTTCGCTATGTCGTAAACCGGAGTTCTTTTTCACAAAGTCAATGCATTACCTAACATTAAATTAAAAATCAAAACATAGGTGAGCATGTATTGTTATACGATTATGACCATTTATGGTTCTCCATTCTGTCAATACGTCTAATTTTGCTTTTTTGCAAAGATCAGACTTTTATCTAACTGTCCCGGATTGGGGAAGGCTGTACACTGATAAATATGTTTAACTCCGCCACATTCTTTATGTGCCTGTCCCATGTCAGGAGCTTGTAATTCAGTAATTGTCGTTGGTCTCTGTCTGCCATATTTTCAGTCCCTCTGATTCGGACATTTTAAAAACAGATTTGATCAACTGTCTAAGAAGTTTCTTATGTAAAGATAAAGTCTGTGATAAAATACATATCATGATTAGCATTATATTGCAAACAAAGCCCAAAACGAGTGTTCTAGTGTCTTGAGATCTAAGAGAATAAAAATAACACTATTATTTTGGTGTGTCCGAAGCACTTCTTTAAATTAGCACTCATCAGGAACATTAAAACTAAAAACATGAATTCGTGAGGAGCTTATAACTAAACTAAACAAATGTACAGCTTAATCCACGGAGGTAAACTTTGCAGGATGGAGTAGAATTCTTAGTTTCCTGATTATTGATTTCATCGACAAATTAAGAAAAGCATCTCAGTTCCTCAGAACTTGACTACTGAGCAAATGAATAACTCGGGGCTAGCAGTCCATCAGCAGCGGTATCGACCCAAGCCTTTTTTTTTTTATAGATTTAACAGGAATGCTCAAACCCAAAAAAATTAAAAAAAAAGGATGCACAATTACGTAATTTATTGAGGAGCTCATGACAAAATGAAATCTTAAAAGAATAGCTTAATAAATTTGCCCGAGAGAGTTGAAACCTTAGTTTCTGAATAATTCATCAATTTATCCACGACGAATTTAGGAAATATATGCTATAAATAATGTCATTTCCCCAACACTGACAACTGAGCCGATGATACCACGATGAAAACATGTCTTTTGTGAGTTGCGACACTGAGGAATTGTTTTTAGACAACTAATTTGTGATGGTTAGGAAGCCATAAAAAATGTAAATCGAAAGTTAATTAAGACATGAGTGTCATGTGCAAAAATTAAAAAAACATCCATCCGTGATCAGATTCTAAAAGAAAAGAATTCTACGCAGCAAAGTGTTTAAAAAGAGAGGCGAAAGATACCAAAGGGACATGCAAAATCCTAATTCGGAACTACACTGACAACGCCAGGGCAAAAAACGAAAAAGACCAAAAGACAAACAAAAGTATACAAACCCCAAAAAAGAAAACTAAAGACTGAGCAACACAAACCCCACCATAAACCGGGGGTGATCTTAGGTGCTCTGGAAGGGTAAGCAGATCCTGCTCTACACATGGCATTCGTCGTGTGGTTCATGTTAGTACAAATCCTGTATAATTTGGTAGGTCACGTTCGGTGAAAAGAGGACGGGATTGTGGTTACGACAATTGGAACATATCCGTCGTCATCTGTGAAATAGATATTCCATAACGGTCAACTAACTCGTGATGGCGTCCGTAAAATTTTCGAAGGGATGGTTTAAACTTAACCACTTGGAACTCTTGGTTTAATAGCTTTCCTGTGAGCAGTAGCTCTCTATTTCTGGAATCATGATATGAAATGCATGGCCTTAAAATTATGATGATGAAATGGAATGGTATACACAAGCTTACAGCTTGAACCTAATTATTTGCATAGAAATGTAAAAAAAAAAAAAAACAGTGCGATACTAGTAGTTTGACTTACAAGTATTGGACTAGTATTCCATTTTATTTTAAACATGCTGAAAAAAAACCTCAACGTAATCAAATAATTGACAATGTTCTACACCTTGAAGGGAACGCCTTGTCTACTCTTTTTTAACAAAATTTTAACCGAGGTAAAGCTTATGACGTCAGAGTAGCTTAAAATATAGTCAAAATTAAGAACATCCATTTTTGATAAAAATATTTTTAACTGTGATAAATATTGTTTTTCCTTTTGCAGTTCTCTTTTTTTAAACATTCAAATATACAAAATACAATAACAAAGGGAAGTTTTTTTCAAATAGACACAATATCTCATTCAAAGCTCGGGGCTATCATCTTTCGATGATATGAGGATTAGAAATTGTATCTCGTTTAAAAACAACATAAATAACCTCTTACTATAATTTATTTCAGTGCGTTGCAGGTATTTCAGCAGTCTCATTTCGGACAGGGAAATGGTTCTATTATGTTGAGTCGTTTACATTGCACTGGTCATGAGAAGAGTGTTGACAACTGTGGATCAGAAGGGTGGTACAAACATAACTGTGATCATAGAGAGGATGCCGGGGTAGCCTGCTTAGGTAATATTACAAATCTTATCAAATTCCAGTAATATTTCATTTTGACGTCTACTCAATAATATGAGGTGTGATAGAAGGGAAGTATACATAAAACTGAAAATACCCCTGAAAATGTTTGATTATGACACAAAAAAACCTGGACAAACATTTTTCTGCTGTTAATTTAGTATTAAATTTTTAAAATTTTAAATCGTATTTGAAAGTTTTAAGAAAAACGAATTTTGTTGTTGGCTCCGAATGAGAGGGAATACTGTTTAACCTCTGTCTGTCCGTATGTCCGTCTTTGCCATGAAATTCTGTCTCATTTTTCACAGTAGCTACAAATCAGAGCTTCCTGAAATTTGTTTTATAAAATGGAAACAACACTTTATAAACTGCATGCGTCCGAAGAGCGCGTTTCTGGATGTACCTTCTCCAGGAACGCTAAAAGCCAAATATTTGAAAGCCACGAATGAAAGAACCAAAACTGTTGAAGAGCTAAATGAATAAAAAGAACCTAAAAAAATAGCCAGTCCATCTAAGGTCAAGGGAGTTGAAACATTCGTTTCTTTATAATTTAAAAAAATTATAAACGGACAATTTTAGACTTTGGGTTGGTCAGAAACATTTACAACTGCAGCTATTTGTAATTTACGATGAAGACCACGAGCACTACTAATAATTGTTCAGTGTTAAAGTGCTTAAATAACTGCTTCAAATCGATTTTTGTTGGCCACGGTTTTCTAGTTATTTTTTTAGGGTTTCGACAGATGATGACGTCACTTCATGCCCATTAATCCAAAATATAAACGTAAACAAATACATTGACTGGGAGCGATAATAGTCTTCATGAATTTAGCCAAACGTTTTATTTTTGGAACCCTTTTTCATTTATAATCTTAGGAGATTGTAACATGCTGTTAAAAATGAGGTGTTCAGACCTGGTTTGATTAGAAAATATAGTATTCTTTAAAACAGGCCGAAGATAACAAGGGGACATTCAAAACTAGTTTGTCAAAGATTAAAATCCATGACAAAAAACGAAAATGGACAAAAGACGAATAAGTCCGGAAAACAGTTCCTAGAAAACTAAAAACTGCGCAGCAACAACACCAAAAAAAACCGGGTAAGCAGTTCCTTTATCATATGTTGCATCCGTCGTGTTGCTCATGCACTTAGTACACTTAAGCAAGGGTTTTACTACCGGACAGTCCAGTAATTACCATATTTCTTTACTGTTGGCAACCTTTGTAGTGTTGTTTCTTTGGGTTGCTGTCTCATTAGCTAATCATACCCAACATCTTTAATTAACCTCAATTATGAGTTTAAAAATTGTCATGTTTCCATATGAGTTTTAATTCATGTTAAAGTCATGATTGACCACAGCAATTGCGTAAAGTTGTGTCAAGTTTAACTTTTGTCAGTTTGATAATGCAAAGTATTTCACACCTTTGTTATTATGCTTAAGTCATGAACAAGAGAACCGTGTTGAATTTCTTTCCAACAGGGCCATTTTCAAAAAATCCTTTCAATCTTTTCTCAAATTCTCATTGTCACAGCCTTATGTCTGTACTTCAACGTTTAAACAATATTTTGGCTGATTTATAAAATGATAACATAATTATTAAGGCCAGAAGATAACTCAAAACCGCAATTTCAACTGATTTAGGAAAATTTTGAGTATTTATCAAAAAAATATATAAGAACATTTCAATCAAAACCTTAACTGAATTTTATATTTAAGGCACACAAATTTGCTGTTTTCTGCATTAAATGAGTTAGTTTACAAACGGCGTGCTATCATATATAACTTGTATGTTTAGGGATACATATTGATTAATTGAATATTTAAAATTTTAATCATTATCAATGTGTTTGGGGTTTTGCAAATATTTAATAGGGAAAATTGCTCTTCGTTGTGTATAAAGAAAAATTTCTAAAATTGGTAAATGAAATCTTTGACGAATTTTAAGTTTATCACTTGTACTTACTGATGATGATAACAGGAGGAGTGGAGAATTCACAAAACTTAGTTTAACCATACCGCATGTGTATGTGTCTGTGTCGATTCAAGAATCTCACCAATGTTGATGCAGAGAGCGCGGATGCTTGTTTGGCATTAAAGACCGCATGTTGATTCTTAAGTGCAGTACTTTGGTAACTTTTGGTATTCATCTGCACTTGCTGATGTTTTCCTCACATCCAAAGATATTGACAATTAAGACTACTAAGCTGTTTATCATGTCAGGGCATATTTTAACCTTTCTTTTAAAGGAAATCAAAGGGAAGGAACAGTACAAGGTAATGTTTACAAAATTGCAGGTATTTAACAAGTTAACGGATAGCCTAGTTACTTTAAGAAGATCCGAACTTAACACATATATCCGTTACTGGTTTTCTTCGTGATGCCAATTATCATGCGTATGAAACCAAAATTAAGCATACCGGGTCAACTGCATTTCTTGATCAACCTTTACAATGAATGCTTCGAGCAAAAATAGATCGAAAAAAAAAATGTGACCGTTTTTTCCTATGATAGATTGGTTATTTTGCCGTTTTTTAATTAGAGGTTTTGCTTGATGTAAATACTTTTATTTGCTATTAATTGGAAATATAACTTTACACAATGAAAATAACACGTTATAAATTTCATACGTCCGAAGCGCTTTTCTGGATTTACCCTCATCAGGAACGCTCAAAGTCGAATATTTGAAAGCCAAGGATGTATAAGAACCGAAACAGTTGAAGAGCTATATAACCAAAAAGGACCTAAAATAATAGCCAAATCCATCTAAGGTCAATTTTGCCTGAGGGAGTTTAACGGACTAAAACAGTTCCTTTAACAATGTGAAGTAGACTTTACATTTTGTAGATGAAATCTTAGTTGATACGAAAATGCTTGATTCAAGAAGAGTATAATTCATGTCATTAATATATCTTTTGTAGCTTTTGTACAATGTAAAACATATTGTTAAGTAAGATGTCATACAAATACAATGTATAAGTAATTAATAAAATAATAACAGTTTTTTCATCGGAATGACCGTAGATTCATATTCGTTTTCTTATTTCTGAACTTGTATAACACTGTCACTTTTATTTGCATTTCATTCCATTATTTAGATGTAAGACTTGTAGGAGGCAATGGACCATATGAAGGAACCATAGAATTGAATATAAATGGTGTATGGGGTACAGTGTGTGACGACGATTTTGATATAAATGATGGAAATGTTATATGTCGTATGGCAGGATATCCAAGGTACTATCATGATGGCCCAAGACCAACATTGTAGCCCTTTGGTTTTTGTTGTCTATATAGTCCCTAGTGTGGACACCATTTAACTTGCATTTTTTTTTCATACACCTTTGCCTGTAGGGATAGCTTGTTGATGAATAAAATTCAAATACCACGGGTGTCATTCGGTATATCAGAAAAATCATGATGAAAGAATAACTAACAGTGGTCAAGCATTGCGATCGGATCGTGGATCTAAATCAGTGTAATTCTTCTTCAAAATATGTGACAAATCTGCTGTATTTTCAAAAGGTGGAACAAATCAGAAAAAAGAAATATGCCTGTCAAAATTATTTAACCTTCTCAATAATACTGTGCACTAAGTTATAGAAAAAGTTCAGTACTTATTAAGAAAACACAAAAGACGAAACAAATCCTTTGAGAATCATTAAGAAAAAAATCGCGTATTGTATCTATAATGGTCACATTCCAATATTATTAGCATAATACATTCAAAACTCGATCTTAAGTGTGTCAGATAGTCCTGCAATAAAAGTATGTTATTACTTGAAAAAGTTCATATTATTTTTGAAAAAATAAAATGTTGTTGATTTTTAATCAAAATTGACCGTGAAAGATCAGGCAACGCATTATTTTGATCGTAAAAGACAAGGCGTGACCAGACTTTATGATAAGAAAAAAATATTTATTCTACCAATCGATATACTTGTAATTGGTTGAAGCGTGTAATTACTTACTAAGAACGTAAATTAATGCTTTCATTTTTTTTTTATGATATATACATATAGACCCATATTTATAAATAAGAAGATGTGGTATGAGTGCCAATGAGACAACTCTCCATCCAAGTCACAATGTGTAAAAAGTAAACAATTATAGGTCAAAGTACGGCCTTTAACACGGAGCCTTTGCTCACATCGAACATCAAGCTATAAAGGACCCCAAAATTACTAGTGTAAAACAATTCAAACAGGGAAACCAACAGTCTAATCTATATAAAAAACGAGAAACACTTATGAACCACACCAACAAACGACAACCACTGACAATCCTGACCAAGGACAGGTGCATACAAATGCAGCGGGTTTAAACGTTTTGACAGGCGCCAACCTTCACCCTAACCTGAAACAGTAGTGTAATATTACAACATAAAAAGACACACTATAACATATCAATTGAAATGGCTTAACTCGATCAAAAAGACATATTACCAATAACAAGTAAACATACACTGAACGTTTGATCTATGACACAATATAAAATTAATAAAATATAAACAAAAAGATGTAGAACAATGTCAAAAAGACAACTTTAACCTGGGACAAAATGGCGTTAAATAACACTACAAACTGCTCAGAGTCTGAAAAGACCAGTTTTTGTGCTCGACTAGTAAAGTCGAGCACAGATTTTACTCGACTAGACTCGACATTGTCTCGACAGTACTTAACTGTACTTAACTGTACTCGACTTTGGTCTCGACTTTACTTAATAAGTCCGATTCAGTACTTGATGATCTTGGTGTAGTCTGAAATGGTCTCGGCTAAGGCTCGACCAGTCTCGACCTGTCTCGACCAGTCTTACCCTGTCTCGACCAGTCTTGACTCAGTCTCGACCAGTCTCGACTTGTTTCAACTATTCTTGACCTTCAAATTTATTCTTGACTGGTATGAATAAGCCCATCTAACTAAATTAAATATTGATCTTACAAAATTCCAGGTTATTTGGTAGTTGGCTCATTGCTGTGAAATTAAAGAATTTAATTAATAGGTAAAAAAAAGCAAGAGTTTTCAGTTTTGATTAAATTCAGCTGTCATCTTTAATTATTTCTATAACTTTTTCAAATCAACTTGGATTTTCATAAAACTATACAGCTATCTGAATTATACATTGATCTTACTGAATCCCAGGTTGTTATGTAGTTTGGTGTATTGCTGTTAAATTTAAGGAATTAATTGATAGGTATAAAAAAGCAAGAATTTTCAGTTTTGATTAAATTCAGCTAGTCATCTTTAATTATTTCTATAACTTTTTCAAATCAACTTGGATTTTTACAAAACTCTGCAGCTATCTCAATTAAACATTGATCTTACTGAATCCAAGGTCATTATGTAGTTTGGTGCATTGCTGTCAAATTTAAGGATTTAATTAATAGGTAAAAAAAAAAGCTAGAATTTTCAGTCGGACTGCTTTAGATATTTAACTTTAAATTTGTTTATTTCTTTTTCAAATTAACTTGGATTTTCATAAAACTATACAGCTATATCTGTTGTATATTGATCTTACTAACTCTCAGGTTGTTATGTTGTTTGGCATATTGCTGTCAAATTTAAGGATTTAATTAATCAAGGTAAAAAAAGCTAGAATTTTAAGATTGGACTAAATTCAGATAGTTATCTTTAAATTTTTTTATAACTATTTCAAAGCAACTTGGGTTTTCATCAAAATCTACAGCTATCTCCATTATATAATTATCTTAAAAAAATACCAGGTTATTTGTTAATATGGTTTATTACTGTCAAATTTAAATATTTAAATTATAAGTATCTGTCTGAATTTAGTCAATTTCAGCCTTTTTTACCTATTACCTAAGTCCTTAAATTTGAGAGCAATACACTAAAATACAAAACAACCTGGCATTCTGTAAGATAAATATATAATAAAGATAGCTGAAAAGTTTGATGAAAATCCATACTGATTTGAAAAAGTTATAAAATCAAAGTGATTGAAATCACTCATGGAAAGATTGAAGTATTTTGAAATTATATCTAGGAATGGTGTGGACAAAAAAAAGCATTAATGATAAAGCATTATTGCAGACAATTGCATTTACTACAGAACAACAGATAAACTTGAAAATAAGATCTTTATTACAAAGTCTCTAAAATATAATCTAAAAAGGTTGTTTTGGGGGCTTTTTGTTAGTTGAAACATAGGTATACTATTTTTCTCCTCTTAAGAATTCCTTATTGATTTTGAAAACAATTATGATTATATGACACTGAAGATTAAAAGTTGTAGGATGTATTATATTCAATTTGTAATTTAATATTTTCCAGAAAAAGGCATTGAAAATGTACCTTTTCAACGTAAACAAATTCCAAAACTTTATTCTATTGAAATGGGGATTCAACTTTCATTGAAAAAGTACACTTCCTGTATTCAAATGACTCATATTATTCAAAGAAATTTGATGGGGAATAAATTAAAAAATAATATTGGTTTGATCAGCTAAAGAGTTGAAATTTTACTTACTGTTTTAAGCCAATCACTGATAAGTGTAACCTAAATTATTGATTCATTACACTAGATGATTATTGCACAGATCTATCAAGTAAAATATTTGAATACCTTTTTTTATATTGAAATTTAAGATTTTGTCTTTTCTTTTAAAAAAAAGGTCTTGTTAATCCTTAATTATTAATCTTTCAGACATAATTTATTGAATAATGCTATGTAGTGCAGATCAAAAGTAATAGGCAATGAATAAATCTATCATTTCTATATACCAAACATCTAATATATATATTTGAGTATTCAATAATGAGGTCAAGTATTTGTGTATTGAGATGTATAATTAAGGATCTGCTTAATTATGTATGACTGAGGTTGATTGGCAATTTGGTCAATATAATTGGACATTCTAATGAAGGCCCCACCTTGTCTCTGATTATATGGTGATTATGGCAGTTGTCAATCATACTGGCAATGTATCATTACTCTTACCTAATTAAAATGTCAAAACTAGCCTGCAAATTGACAAAACTAAAGACATACACACTTGAATGAACTGCTCCAAAGATACAACCCAAATTTTTCACAGTGCATGTCTACATAGACATGAAAATGATAGGGAACTATATATCAGTGTGTATACATTTTGTAGATTTAGTCGAGACTGGTGGAGACAGGTCGAGACTGGTCAAGACTGGTCGAGACAGGTCGAGCCTTGGTCGAGACCATTTCATAAATTTCTTGCTCACAGTACGAGTATAGGAGTGAAAATTTATCATTATACTAAATACTTATCAAAGGTGGTACATATTAAAAAATACTGAGACGAGATATAGCACAAAATAAGTAAACATTGAATAACAGAAATGCATAACAAATTGTGTTAACAGGTCAAATTAACACGGAAGTACGATTTGAGAGTACTCGCAGTTATTGAAAGATAGTTAAAAGCAAAAAACAATTATTAATAAAAAATCATGCATCAGAGACTTAAATCAATTAAAACACATCCCAGGGATTTATTGTTTTACGCCATGGACAGTCACACAAGACATGACTTGTGCAATGCCAAAATAAAAGTATCGACAGGCAGTAGGATAGTTAGGATTTAACCTTATAATAGATATGTATCATGTTATATATGGATTAAGCAATCTCTAAATAGAAAATAAACGTGGATGTGTATTAATACATCCCAAAATACCGTTCGAAAAGAATACAAATTTAGTTATGTTTTAATTTGTTGATGAAAAGGCAATGTTAGTGCCAATGTAAAGAATATTCAAAGATCTTATTACAACATTAATAAGATAACCTTTACTAAAAAGTTTGTTTAAAGGTTCGATAAGTTTACACGGATCACATAGTGATTTCCGCGCTTTTTGTATAATATTACCGTAAAATGTAGGATGTGAAATACCGTTTTTAATAAGTTTTCTACAGTTACAGCCAAATTTACTAATCAAATCTTTGTATCTATGAAAGAATTAAGTAATGTTTTAAGTATTTTATGGTAACGAAATCCCTGACTTTATAATTTACCAGTGATGCATTGGTTACGTTCATTAAAATCTATGACATTAATACACACGGGCATAACGAACGAGTAATTTAGACCAGTTTTCATTTGAGAGGCAATGCTACATGTAACTAGGCAAGACATTAAGACCTCCAGGAGCGTGAATTGTCGAAAAGTAAATATCTTTCTATATATAAAATGCTAAATGCATCCACGAATGATGATTAATTCAGAACACAAAAACAGAATACTA